CGATTTTTTAAGCACGAGTCTTAAACCCTTTTCATGGGCAAAAAATAAAAGAACGATTTTTTTCGACGGGAAGTCGAGAGGAGCGCTCATAGCATTCATTTGAGATCATGATCGTGAGAAAAGAGGAAATGATCAGGTAGAGCTCTTGATTGTTAAACAAATTCTCCTTGTCAGCTCCTTATGAAATGTATAGAGAACAGTATGGAGAATATGCATACTAATGTTAGGGTGTAAACGGGGATAACCGTTTGCCATAAACCGGCCAAAACAATTTAGCCGTTAGGCGTAAACTTTGTCGTAAAATAGTCAGCCTTAAAATTCTTTCTTTAATCGAAAGTGGAAGAAAATTAGCTGGAAGTCGTCAAATGGCCAAATTTCACCCGTAAAAGTACCCCTCGGGCCATCACCCCATCGGAAAATATCATAAAAAACAATGGTTTGAAAATAGCCTGAGGACTCAAGGGGCCTTCATAGATAAAAATGCATTACCTCATAGACATGTAACTCGATGAATGATTCATATGATATGCGAATATAACTTTATCAGATTTATCACTGAACTAGCATAAAGAGCATTTGTTTCTCTTCGCAGAGAGGTCGAGAAGAAGACACTGCTTTCAGCGAGAAGACAGAACTCACGATGAAGCTCGTTGCTGTTCTTTGCCTTGTTTTCTGTTTGGTTTGTATCATTGCAGGTATGTGTGCTTTAGAATAATAATAATAATGATAATAATAATAATAACAAATTTATTTAAGGAGGGTAACACACGACAGTAATTCAACTGATGGATTAGTCGCCCTCGATCCTAAAGGTACTTTCATTAGAATAAAAATGTATTCGAGTTTTATAAAACTGGTCGAAAGGTCTATAAGAATATAAGCTACAAACTAGATAAAATAAAAAAAGCCGCTTGAGTCAGATTAAATCGCATTCAGACTGAAAATCCTACTTAACCTTCTGTGTAGTCTAAAAAATGATCGCTAACACCCCAAATGGTTTTCCTTCTCCTTTCCCCTCTCTGGGTTTGTCGTATTGGAAAAAAAAAATCACACACTTTCGCAGAACAATGAGATAACAACCAATTACATGACACTAACTGGTTCCTTATTTCCGAAAGATTTTCATGATATGATTCCAAAAGTGAACCCTATATAAATAAATGAAAGAAACCAATCGCGACGTGACTCAAACGTACATTTCCTACTATATTTGACTGTGACGACAATTTTACGCCCCTAATTCCTTTGTTTCCCTGATTGTCAGTCGGCTGTTATGATAACTTTCATAGGTACAGGTTTCACAGCGCCTGATTGTCGGGCACCGGTCCTTAACCATCATAATACTATTGAACCCGGGTTTGAAATATATTTCCTTTTGAAGTTGTAAGAGCAATAACTGTACTCTTATGGCTTTTTTTTTCATGCATTTACCTATATTGACTATCCGATAGCAGTACGTGATCTTAGCACATACCACTATAGTGAATAGTGATTTTCACACGCGCTAATTGTCTAGTTCGGAGACGAACTGCAAGTACTATTCACCTCCACTTCGGTGAATAATTGTACAATATTTTGATTCATCCTCTCCCATTTCATTCCAAGCATCTCCTCCAATACTGCCCAAACCTATTTACTTCACTCTTATCCTTTCACGCACGTTTTACGTACGGCAAAACTTACGCGACAATATAAAAACACTTTAACGTAGTTATATATCAAATTCCAGGTTTTTTAAAAGGCGTATGCCATTCACACAAATCGAAATCGCGAGAGTACCGAAAAATTGTTGAGAAGCCTTCAACACCTTCGCAGGAGCGCGAGTTTCTCGCAAGTTTGTAATAAAACGTTTTCTTTACGCACGTTTTCCGCATGGAAAAGCTTTCTCCTCAAACCTCTGGTAATCATTGTGGAATGTCTGAAGACCTTTTAAGATGTTTCTGGTAATTTTGGTGCACATAGACCAGTTTACTACTTACGTTTTATTCAGATCGTGTCTAAGGGGGGGACTGTAGAAAACTGACCGCCAATAAGTGGAGGAGGGAGGGCAATAAGAACATTAAAGATCCTGGAACCCACCTCCCCCTCTCCCTTGGGGATAAAATATATAACGAACGGTCCTTAACTGATCCAGATTTTCCTCTAACAGAGAGCGGAAGAAGACAGCTCGCTCTCAAAATGATGTCAATGGTTATATATATATATATATATATATATATATATATATAATTTTTTAAATTTACCATTCACTGGTTTTTTTTTTCATCTAGGTGAAGAGAGTTCCAGCGATGGATATATATCAAAATGATGTATATATATATATATATATGTATATATATAAAATTTATTATTATTTCCTGTTCACTGTTTTTTTTCCATTTAGGTGAAAAGAGTTCCAGCGATGCGCCTTTACGAGGTATCGTAAACGATGCTTTTAGAGAGTTTTAGATCCACGTTTAGTGTGATTACCGCAAAAGTAAAAGCAGTTAGCAATCTGTGGTTAGAAGTTAGACGTTTTGAGACTTTCAGCTTTTTAGATCGACGTCGGCTTTCGACTGAAAAAGTCAACATGTTCGCCGCCATCTTGAATTACTTCATTTCAAACGCAAACTCTGGCTACAAGATTGGTTTCCCAGCGTTCCAAACGGATTGGTTGTAGCAGGAGCCCATTACTCCGAGCATCCATACCAGTTGTACCCTTGGGTCAATCCTGTCCCGTATCTTTTTATTTTTAGTTATGAAGAAAAGACTTCACCTCATATATTCTTATAGGCCATACGTGAGCACTTTCGAACAGGAAGACAAAAACCGTCGAGGGAGCTCAAGTACCTGAAACCGCCCTGCCCGAAAATATAACGTGCACGGCAAACGGCGAACATGACTGCTGGAGTCTGGTCACGTGACCCTAGACGTTTGCAGTCACATATGTATTCAGAAACAAACATGGATACTAACGTTCGGGTGTCAAGGGTTGATAGACTGCCGAGATATATACAATCGTTCCTGTATTTTCATCCCCGATCGTAACCATCACATTTAAACTGCATGCCTTGTTGTTGGTTTTTTTTCCTATCCTTCTAGAATGCAACGATAGGGAAAAGGCGTCGAAAGATTGCCCAGCTGGGTTCGTATGTATGGCTGTTGTTGGGAAGAGGAGAGGTCGCCTTCAATGTGTACCTTCGAGGAGGAGGAGCGGGGGTCGGCCTGTGTATACAATTCCACGCGACGAGTCCCGTAAATCAAAGGAATAAAACTCTAAATTGTTTAAAGACGTATATAATTAAAGTGTATTAGAAGACATGAAGTTTCAATTGTTATTGACGTAACACAGCGATCAAATGTCGAATATGTACAATTGGATCAAATTTTGGCTTCTCACCCCAACCTCCAGCCCAAAATTTCAAACAGTGCGAAAATAAAACTTGATGGAAACGTTCTAGATATTTATTTTAGGAAAGAGATATTAGCAACATTTTTTAAGACCGTGACTTACTTACCTGATGACCCGTTTACTGCCTCTGACATGAAGCAAGCAATGAGATGTACTAAATGCGACACGGCAAGTCTTAATCTCGCTTTCCTGTTGTCTGTGTAAATTTATTACTTCATTTTCTTTTCAGTTTTCTTTCTGGTCAGATAAATAGTCACTCTATATTCCAATTACAATTGCCGTTGTGATTTGTTATATCCATATGTTATTCTGGGAATTTGAGCAGGTTGACTATTTTTACGACAAATGGTTTGAATTTGCCAGTTATCACGTGCAACGGCCAAATGTTTTAGCCCTTTTATGGCTTATGGTAAACCTCATCGAGACTCAGTCTTCGCCTATTCATTGTGTTTTCTTGTGGGACGGCGTCACGTCGTAAGCAACCATCATGACATATTGAAGTAACAAGAAAAAAATATGGAAATATCAATAGCCCGGAATTTGAATGATAAGCATACAGTTAGTTTAACATAAACCAAAGGGAAATATATAGTGAGCGACTTGGAAATTTTTAGATAGAAAAGAACACAAATATTATTGGTTTGTAAAACAAGACTTGTTATAGAAAGTTATTATTTTAATGAAGAAAGGTAAAATGGTTTCCGTGTTTACATAGCCTGATGTAAACATGCGTGAGGTTGGGAGAACACGAGATAAGTGTAGGAATCGCTTCTCCCAACCTCCCAAGTGTTTACATCAGGCTATGTAAACATGGAAAGCATTTTACATTTCTTTTATAAAATAACTAACGAAAGGGGAACGAAAACCGCGTTTACATACGCTCATGTAAGATGCTTTTTTGGCCGATCAGAGCACGCGTACTATTTGAATTATTTTATAAATTAATGTGTTACACTTTCGATCACTGTCCACACGGGTGGTCCAGCCAAAAATGATGTTTGGCTTGTGGCGACGTAGAAAAAAGACTTTGAGAACACCTAAACGATTTTTTAAGCACGAGTCTTAAACCCTTTTCATGGGCAAAAAATAAAAGAACGATTTTTTTCGACGGGAAGTCGAGAGGAGCGCTCATAGCATTCATTTGAGATCATGATCGTGAGAAAAGAGGAAATGATCAGGTAGAGCTCTTGATTGTTAAACAAATTCTCCTTGTCAGCTCCTTATGAAATGTATAGAGAACAGTATGGAGAATATGCATACTAATGTTAGGGTGTAAACCGTTTGCAATAAAAGGGCCAAAAAAATTTTGGCCGCTAGGCGTAAACTTTGTCGTAAAATAGTCAGCCTTAAAATTCTTTCTTTAATCGAAAGTGGAAGAAAATTAGCTGGAAGTCGTCAAATGGCCAAATTTCACCCGTAAAAGTACCCCTCGGGCCATCACCCCATCGGAAAATATCATAAAAAACAATGGTTTGAAAATAGCCTGAGGACTCAAGGGGCCTTCATAGATAAAAATGCATTACCTCATAGACATGTAACTCGATGAATGATTCATATGATATGCGAATATAACTTTATCAGATTTATCACTGAACTAGCATAAAGAGCATTTGTTTCTCTTCGTAGAGAGGTCGAGAAGAAGACACTGCTTTCAGCGAGAAGACAGAACTCACGATGAAGCTCGTTGCTGTTCTTTGCCTTGTTTTCTGTTTGGTTTGTATCATTGCAGGTATGTGTGCTTTAGAATAATAATAATAATGATAATAATAATAATAACAAATTTATTTAAGGAGGGTAACACACGACAGTAATTCAACTGATGGATTAGTCGCCCTCGATCCTAAAGGTACTTTCATTAGAATAAAAATGTATTCGAGTTTTATAAAACTGGTCGAAAGGTCTATAAGAATATAAGTTACAAACTAGATAAAATAAAAAAAGCCGCTTGAGTCAGATTAAATCGCATTCAGACTGAAAATCCTACTTAACCTTCTGTGTAGTCTAAAAAATGATCGCTAACACCCCAAATGGTTTTCCTTCTCCTTTCCCCTCTCTGGGTTTGTCGTATTGGAAAAAAAAAATCACACAATTTCGCAGAACAATGAGATAACAACCAATTACATGACACTAACTGGTTCCTTATTTCCGAAAGATTTTCATGATATGATTCCAAAAGTGAACCCTATAGGTGAGCTTCAATTTTAGAAATAAATGAAAGAAACCAATCGCGACGTGACTCAAACGTACATTTCCTACTATATTTGACTGTGACGACAATTTTACGCCCCTAATTCCTTTGTTTCCCTGATTGTCAGTCGGCTGTTATGATAACTTTCATAGGTACAGGTTTCACAGCGCCTGATTGTCGGGCACCGGTCCTTAACCATCATAATACTATTGAACCCGGGTTTGAAATATATTTCCTTTTGAAGTTGTAAGAGCAATAACTGTACTCTTATGGCTTTTTTTTTCATGCATTTACCTATATTGACTATCCGATAGCAGTACGTGATCTTAGCACATACCACTATAGTGAATAGTGATTTTCACACGCGCTAATTGTCTAGTTCGGAGACGAACTGCAAGTACTATTCACCTCCACTTCGGTGAATAATTGTACAATATTTTGATTCATCCTCTCCCATTTCATTCCAAGCATCTCCTCCAATACTGCCCAAACCTATTTACTTCACTCTTATCCTTTCACGCACGTTTTACGTACGGCAAAACTTACGCGACAATATAAAAACACTTTAACGTAGTTATATATCAAATTCCAGGTTTTTTAAAAGGCGTATGCCATTCACACAAATCGAAATCGCGAGAGTACCGAAAAATTGTTGAGAAGCCTTCAACACCTTCGCAGGAGCGCGAGTTTCTCGCAAGTTTGTAATAAAACGTTTTCTTTACGCACGTTTTCCGCATGGAAAAGCTTTCTCCTCAAACCTCTGGTAATCATTGTGGAATGTCTGAAGACCTTTTAAGATGTTTCTGGTAATTTTGGTGCACATAGACCAGTTTACTACTTACGTTTTATTCAGATCGTGTCTAAGGGGGGGACTGTAGAAAACTGACCGCCAATAAGTGGAGGAGGGAGGGCAATAAGAACATTAAAGATCCTGGAACCCACCTCCCCCCCTCCCTTGGGGATAAAATATATAACGAACGGTCCTTAACTGATCCAGATTTTCCTCTAACAGAGAGCGGAAGAAGACAGCTCGCTCTCAAAATGATGTCAATGGATATATATATGTATATATATATATATATATATATATAATTTTTTAAATTTACCATTCACTGGTTTTTTTTTTTCATCTAGGTGAAGAGAGTTCCAGCGATGCGCCTTTACGAGGTATCTTGAACGCTACTTTTATTTTACTTTTTTTTTCAAAATGATGTCAATGAATATATATATATATATATATATATATATATAAAATTTATTATTATTTCCTGTTCACTGTTTTTTTTTTCCATCTAGGTGAAAAGAGTTCCAGCGATGCGCCTTTACGAGGTATCGTAAACGATGCTTTTAGAGAGTTTTAGATCCACGTTTAGTGTGATTACCGCAAAAGTAAAAGCAGTTAGCAATCTGTGGTTAGAAGTTAGACGTTTTGAGACTTTCAGCTTTTTAGATCGACGTCGGCTTTCGACTGAAAAAGTCAACATGTTCGCCGCCATCTTGAATTACTTCATTTCAAACGCAAACTCTGGCTACAAGATTGGTTTCCCAGCGTTCCAAACGGATTGGTTGTAGCAGGAGCCCATTACTCCGAGCATCCATACCAGTTGTACCCTTGGGTCAATCCTGTCCCGTATCTTTTTATTTTTAGTTATGAAGAAAAGACTTCACCTCATATATTCTTATAGGCCATACGTGAGCACTTTCGAACAGGAAGACAAAAACCGTCGAGGGAGCTCAAGTACCTGAAACCGCCCTGCCCGAAAATATAACGTGCACGGCAAACGGCGAACATGACTGCTGGAGTCTGGTCACGTGACCCTAGACGTTTGCAGTCACATATGTATTCAGAAACAAACATGGATACTAACGTTCGGGTGTCAAGGGTTGATAGACTGCCGAGATATATACAATCGTTCCTGTATTTTCATCCCCGATCGTAACCATCACATTTAAACTGCATGCCTTGTTGTTGGTTTTTTTCCCTATCCTTCTAGAATGCAACGATAGGGAAAAGGCGTCGGAAGATTGCCCAGCTGGGTTCGTATGTATGGCTGTTGTTGGGAAGAGGAGAAGTCGCCTTCAATGTGTACCTTCGAGGAGGAGGAGCGGGGGTCGGCCTGGGTATACAATTCCACGCGACGAGTCCCGTAAATCAAAGGAATAAAACTCTAAATTGTTTAAAGACGTATATAATTAAAGTGTATTAGAAGACATGAAGTTTCAATTGTTATTGACGTAACACAGCGATCAAATGTCGAATATGTACAATTGGATCAAATTTTGGCTTCTCACCCCAACCTCCAGCCCAAAATTTCAAACAGTGCGAAAATAAAACTTGATGGAAACGTTCTAGATATTTATTTAAGGAAAGAGATATTAGCAACATTTTTTAAGACCGTGACTTACTTACTTGATGACCCGTTTACTGCCTCTGACATGAAGCAAGCAATGAGGTGTACTAAATGCGACACGGCAAGTCTTAATCTCGCTTTCCTGTTGTCTGTGTAAATTTATTACTTCATTTTCTTTTCAGTTTTCTTTCTGGTCAGATAAATAGTCACTCTATATTCCAATTACAATTGCCGTTGTGATTTGTTATATCCATATGTTATTCTGGGAATTTGAGCAGGTTGACTATTTTTACGACAAATGGTTTGAATTTGCCAGTTATTACGTGCAACGGCCAAATGTTTTAGCCCTTTTATGGCTTATGGTAAACCTCATCGAGTCTCAGTCTTCGCCTATTCATTGTGTTTTCTTGTGGGACGGCGTCACGTCGTAAGCAACCATCATGACATATTGAAGTAACAAGAGAAAAATATGGAAATATCAATAGCCCGGAATTTGAATGAAAAAAATTAAGATAAGCATACAGTTAGTTTAACATAAACCAAAGGGAAATATATAGTGAGCGACTTGGAAATTTTTAGATAGAAAAGAACACAAATGTTATTGGTTTGTAAAACAAGACTTGTTATAGAAAGTTATTATATTAATGAAGAAAGGTAAAATGGTTTCCGTGTTTACATAGCCTGATGTAAACATGCTTGAGGTTGGGAGAACCCGAGATAAGTGTAGGAATCGCTTCTCCCAACCTCCCAATTGTTTACATCAGGCTATGTAAACATGGAAACCATTTTACATTTCTTTTATAAAATAACTAACGAAAGGGGAACGAAAACCGCGTTTACATACGCTCATGTAAGATGCTTTTTTGGCCGATCAGAGCGCGCGTACTATTTGAATTATTTTATAAATTAATGTGTTACACTTTCGATCGCTGTCCACACGGGTGGTCCAGCCAAAAATGATGTTTGGCTTGTGGCGACGCAGAAAAAAGACTTTGAGAACACCTAAACGATTTTTATAAGCACGTGTCCTAAACCCTTTTTTGAGATCATGACCATGAGAAAAGAGGAAATGATCAGGTAGAGCTCTTGATTGTTAAACAAATTCTCCTCGTCAGCTCCCTAGGAAATGTATAGAGAGCAGTATGGAGAATATGCATACTAATGTTAGGGTGTAAACGGGGTTAACCGTTAACCGTAAAATGGCCAAAATAATTTAGTCGTTAGGCGTAAACTTTGTCGTAAAAATAGTCAGCCTTAAAATTCTTTCTTTAATCGAAACGGGAAGAAAATTACCTGGAAGTCGTCATATGGCCAAATTTTAATCGTTACCCGTGAAAGTACCCCTCGGGCCATCACTTCATCGGAAAACATCACAAAAACAATGGGTTGAAAATAGCCTGAGGACTCAAGGGGCCTTCATAGGTAAAAATGCATTACCTCATAGACATGTAACTCGATGAATGATTCATATGATATACGAATATAACTTTATCAGATTTATCATTGAACTAGCATAACAAATAACAAATACATTTAACAGTAATTCAACTGATGGATTAGTCGCCCTCGATCCTAAAAGAACCATCATTAGAATAAAAATGTATTCGAGTTTTATAAAACTGGTCGAAAGGTCTATAAGACCTAAAAAACCTAAATCTAAAAAATGATCGCTAACGCCCAAAATGGTTTTCCTTCTCCTTTCCCTTCTCTGGGTTTGTCGTATTGGGAAAAAAATCACACCCTTTCACAGAACAATGAGATAACAACCTTTTACAATGATCTTTTAAAAAACACGACACTAACTGGTTCCTTATTTCCGAAAGATTTTCATCATGTGATTTTAAAAATGAACCTTATGGGTGAGCTTCAATTTTAGAAATAAATGAAAGAAACCAACCGCGACGTGACTCAAACTTGCATTTTCTATTTCCTATTTGACTGTGACGATAATTTTACACCCAACACAAGTGTTATTGGTTTGGAAAACAAGACTTGTTATAGAAAGTTATTATTTTAAATTAATGTGAATTGACTCGTTACACTTTCGATCGCTGTCCACACGGGTGGTTCAGCCAAGAATGATTTTTGGCTTGTGGCGACGCAGAAAAAAGAATTTGAGAACACCTAAACGATTTTTTCTTTAAGCACGTGTCCTAAACCCTTTACATGAGAAAAAAATAAAAGAAAAATTTTTTTCGACGGGACGTCGAGAGGAGCGCTTATAGCATTCATTTGAGATCACGACCATGAGAAAAGAGGAAATGGTCACGTAGAGCTCTTGATTGTTAAACAAATTCTCCTTGTCAGCTCCTCAGGAAATGTATAGAGAACAGTATAGAGAATATGCATACTAATGTTAGGGTGTAAAGGGGGTTCACCGTTAACCGTAAGAGGGCAAAAAAAAAATTAAGTCGTTAGGCGTAAACTTTGTCGTAAAAATAGTCAGCCTTAAAAATTATTTCTTTAATCGAAACGGGAAGAAAATAACCTAGAAGTCGTAAAATGGCCAAATTTTAATCGTTACCCGTAAAAGCACCATATCGGTACCATCACCCCATTGGAACCCACAAGCAATATCCTACCGTGCACTATCAAAAAACAATGGGTTGAAAATAGCCTGAGGACTCAAGGAGCCCTCATAGGTAAAAATGCAATACCTCATAGACATGTAATTCGATGAATGATTCATATGATATGCGAATATAACTTTATCGGATTTATCATTGAACTAGCATAAACAAGTTCGCAGAGAGGTCGAGAAGAAGAAACTGCTTTCAGCGAGAAGACAGAACTCACAATGAAGCTCGTTGCTGTTCTTTGCCTTGTTTTCTGTTTGGTTTGTATCATCGTAGGTATGTGTGCTCTAGAATAATCGTAATAATAACAAATTTATTTAAGGAGGGTAACACACAACAGTAATTCAACTGATGAATTAGTCGCCCTCGATCCTAAAAGTACCGTCATTAGAATAAAAATGTATTCGAGTTTTATAAAATTGGTCGAAAGGTCTATAAGAATATAAGCTACAAACTAGATAAAATGAAAAAAGCCGCTTGAGTCAGGTTAAATCGCATCCGGACTGAGAATCCTACTTAACCTTCTGTGTAGTCTAAAAAAATGATCGCTAACACCCAAAATAGTTTTCCTTCTCCTTTCCCCTTTCTGGGTCTGTCGTATTGGAAAAAAATATCACACGCTTTCGCAGAACAATGAGATAACAACCAATTACAATGATCTTTTAAAAAACACGACACTAACTGGTTCCTTATTTCCGAAAGATTTTCATCAAATGATTTTAAAAATGAAGCCAATGGGTGAGCTTCAATTTTAGAAGTAAATGAAAGAAACCAACCGCAAGGTGACTCAAACGTGCATTTTCTATTTCCTATTTGACTGTGACGATAATTTTACGCCCATAATTCGTTTGTTTCCCTGGTTGTCAGTCGGCTGTTGTGATAACTTTGGTACAGGTTTCACAGCGCCTGATTGTCGGGCACCGGTCCTTAACCATCATAATACTATTGAACCCAGAGTTTGAAATATTTCCTTTTGAAGTTTTAAGAGCAATAATTGTACTCTTATGGTTTTTTTTCTCATGCATTTACCTATATTGACTATCCGATAGCAGTACTTGATCTTAGTATATACCACTATAGTGAATAGTGATTTTCACGCGCGCTTATTGGCTAGTTCGGAAGCGAACTGCAAGTACTATTCACCTCCACTTCGGTGAATAATTGTACAATATTTTGATTCATCCTCTCCCATTTCATTCCAAGCATCTCCTCTAATACTGCCCAGATCTATTTACTTAACTCTTATACTTTCACGCACGTTTTACGTACGGCAAAACTTACGCGACATTATAAACACCTTAAACGTAGTTCCATACCAAAGAAAACTGACCGCCAATAAGGGGAGGAGGGAGGGCAATAAGACCATTAAAGATCCTGGAACCCACCTCCGCCCCCTCCCTTGGCGATAAAATATATAACGAGCGGTTCTTAACTGATCCAGTTTTTCCTCTTCCACAGAGCGAAAGAAGACAGCTCGCTCTCAAAATGACGTCAATGGTTATATATATATATATATATATATATAACCATTGGGGTGGCTATATAGCCTTACCTCCATCCTAGCATCAGCACTGCACTGATGAGGCCCAGAAGGCCGAAACAGTACTGTCTGCAGTTAGATATAGCTCTTTGGCATACAAAGCTTTGCTTTCATGTCCAAATTGAGCACTCTACTAGGATGGGTCATTGCTGCTAGCATTATGCATGCTCACTAGTTTAACTAGTTTGAGCACTCTGGCATGGCTTAGATGATACCACACGTGTGAGATCACTTGGGGTGGCTATATAGCCTTACCTCCATCCTAGCATCAGCACTGCACTGATGAGGCCCAGAAGGCCGAAACAGTACTGTCTGCAGTTAGTTATATATATATATAATTTTTTAAATTTACCATTCACTGTTTTTTTTTTTTTTCATCTAGGTGAAGAGAGTTCCAGCGATGCGCCTTTACGAGGTATCATAAACACTACTTTTAGAGAGTTTTAGATCCACGTTTGGTGTGATTACCGCAAACGTAAAACCTGTTAGAAATTGTGGTTAGAAAATAGAAGTTTTGAGACTTTCAGCTTTTTAGATCGACGTTGGCTGTCGACTGAAAAAGTCAACATGTTCGCTGCCATCTTGAATTACACAGAAAATGGAGGTCCTTTATCTCAAACACAAACTGTGGCTGAAAGATTGTTTCCCAGCGTTCCAAACGGATTGGTTATAACAGGAGCCCATTACCCGGAGCATCCATACCAGTTGTACCCTTGAGTCAATCCTGTCCCGTATTTTTTTTTTTTTTTAGAACTAAGATACGTGGGGGGCTCTTTAATTTCCCGCAAAACCACGCTGACGTTCGCACAACACCATTAAAAAGAGAAAAAAAAGGGAAATTTTCCACCCTTTTCGCCATTATTAAAGGACTATCGTGTGGCCTGCATGTGACATAAACAATAGAGGACCACGGCTCTCTTATGATTGGCTATTATGTAAACACCCGCGAAAAACCCCGTGGAAGGCGCCTCTCAAAATAAAAAGATACGGGACAGAGTTGACTCAGAGGGTAAGTATGGAAGATTGAAGCCCCGGATAATGGCTCCTGGTTATGAAGAAAAGACTTCACCTCACATATATTCTTATAGGCCATAGGCGAGCACTATCGAACAGGAAGAGAAAAACCGTCGAGGGAACTCAAGTACCTGAAGCCGCCTTGCCCAAAAATAAAAGGTGGACGGCAAACGGTGAACATGACCGCTGGAGTCTGGTCACGTGACCCCTAGACGTTTGCGGTCACACGTATTCACAAACAAACATAGATACTAATGTTCGGGTGTCAAGGGTTAATAGACTGCCGAGATATATACAATCGTTCCTGTATTTTCATCCGCGATCGTAACCATCACATTTAAACTGCATGCCTTGTTGTTGGTTTTTTTTCTATCCTTTTAGAATGCAACGATAGAGAAAAGGCCTTGAAAAATTGCCCAGCTGGGAAGAAATGTATGGCTGTTATTGGGAAGAGAAGAAGAAGTCGCCTTATATGTGTAACTCAGGGGAAGAGCGGCGATCAGCCTGAGTAAACTATTCCACGCGACGAGTCCCGTAAATCAAAGGAATAAAACGCTAAATTGTTTAAAGACGTAAATAATTAAAGTGTTTTAGAAATCATGAAGTTTCAATTGTCATTGACGCAACACAGCAGTCAAATGTCGGAGATGTGCAATTGGATCAAATTTGGCTTCCTCGCCCCAATCTCCAGCCCAAAATCTCAAACAGTGCGAGAATAAAACTTGATGGAAACGTTCTAGATATTTATTTTAGGAAAGAGATATTAGCAACATTTTTTAAGACCGTGACTTACTTACTTGATGACCCGTTTACTGCCTCTGACATGAAACGAGCAATGAGGTGTACTAAATACGACATGGCAAGTCCTAATCTTGCTTTCCTGTTGTCTGTGTAAATTTATTACTTTACTTTCGTTTCAGTTTTCTTTCTGGACAGATAAATAGTCGTTCTATATTCCAATTACAATTGCCGTTATGATTTCTTATATCCATATGTTATTCTGGGAATTTGAGCAGGCTGACTATGTTTACGTCAAATGGTTTAAATTTGCCAATGTTAACGTCCAACGGCCAAATGTTTTGGCACTTTTACGGCTTATGGTAAACCTCCTCGAGACTCATTCTTCGCCTATTCATTGTGTTGTCTTGTGGGAAGGCGTCACGTCGTAAGAAACCATCATGGCATATTGAAGTAACAAGAAAAAAATATGGAAATATCAATAGCGCGGAATTTGAATGAAAAAAATAAGATAAGCTTACAGTTAGTTTAACATAAATCAAAGGGAAACAAATATTGACCGACTTGGAAATTTTTAGATAGAAAAGAACACAAGTGTTATTGGTTTGGAAAACAAGACTTGTTATAGAAAGTTATTATTTTAAATTAATGTGTTACACTTTCGATCGCTGTCCACACGTGTTAGAAGAATTCCTCTCTAACACTCGGTTGAATTTCCTTTATTTTCTGGTTGAACTCTGAGTACAATTCTTTTTTTCGGGGTCTAGCCCAGTCTGGACCTTATTCACCACAGTTCAGCTTATTCCTTTCGACATAAGTCCACACTGCTCTATTTTGCTATATTCTCTGATTGAAAGATGCTGTGCACCAGCCTATAAAGGCGGCACTAAAGGTGACACTACGAAGCTGTCAATCTTCTTCCATCGTCATCATTCTATCTCAATCAGCGAATCACGTTAAGTTACGTACGACAGAGCCTGCATAATTAGTTTGCGTCTTCGAGTTGTTTACGCTGTTACAAAAGCATTTTCTACCTTAAATTTCTTACCTTTATGATTAAGATCGGCCAGAACAGAAGCAAGATTGATAATATAAAAATTCTAATAAACTTAGTAACAGAATTAAAATCATGCTTGAAAAGGTATCTTAAAAGAAAATTGTACTTGAAGGTTGTTACATAACAGCAGAGTAAACACATATTCGAAGAAGAAAGGGCGTACCCAAGGTACCGCCCTTAAGAAAACTACGTGCTATTTACATAAGTTATATAATTACAAATTCAGTGCGGCAGATGAAAGTACTTCACGTTTACACCTTAAATCATCTCTAAGAAAAAGAGGGCAAAAACTAAAAACTATTTTCCTGATCGGGAATTGGACATGGATTTAGCCTAAAAACGAGGGTGTTAAGTGGATAAAAGTATAAAAGGGGGTTATTTCCGGGAAAGTCCTGTACGGGATCAATTTTATAGGGTAGAGTCATTTTCTTGGTACTTAATTATTTTTCTCAGCAACATAATGAAAATATACCGGTAACTAGCCGCAAACCGCAGTTTACGCAAAAACATCTGTCTCCATGTCAAATTCACAATCATAATAAGGAAAAGGTGACCAAACTCTATCTGTTAGATAAGACCGCCAAAAGGAATAAGAAATGATCAACTGGCTCATTACAATGTTTACGGAATGGCTCATGCTAATATATTATTTCCATTTATCTTCACGTTCAAATAAGTCAAAAATCACCCGTTATGGAAATTCTTGCTAGATGCCAATTTTGTCTTTTAACACACAGGTGGTCCAGCCAAAAATGATGTTTGGCTTGTGGCGACGTAGAAAAAAGAATTTGAGAACACCTGAACGATTTTTTAAGCACGTGTCCTAAACCCTTTTCATGGGCAAAAAATAGAAGAACGATTTTTTTCGACGGGAAGCCGAGAGGAACGCTCATAGCATTCATTTGAGATCATGATCGTGAGAAAAGAGGAAATGATCAGGTAGAGCTCTTGATTGTTAAACAAATTCTCCTTGTCAGCTCCTTAGGAAATTTAAAGAGAACAGTAGGGAGAATATGCATACTAATGTTAGGGTGTAAACGGGGATACCCGTTTGCCATAAAAGGGCCAAAACAATTTAGCAGTTAGGCGTAAACTTTGTCGTAAAAATAGTCAGCCTTAAAATTCTTTCTTTAATCGAAACGGGTAGATAATTACCTGGAAGTTGTCAAATGGCCAAATTTTAATCGTTACCCGTAAAAGTACCCCTCGGGCCATCACCCCATCGGAAAACATCATAAAAACAATGGGTTGAAAATAGCCTGAGGACTGAAGTGGCCTTCATAGGTAAAAATGCATTACCTCATGGATATGTAATTCGATGAATGATTCATATGATATGCGAATATAACTTTATCAGATTTATCATTGAACTAGCATAAACAGCATTTGTTTCTCTTTTCGCAGAGAAGTTGAGAAGAAGACACTACTATCAGCGAGAAGACAGAACTCACGATGAAGCTTGTTGCTGTTCTTTGCCTTGTTTTGTGTTTGGTTTGTGTCATTGCAGGTATGTGATGCTGCGTGGCATGTCAAGACCATTGATCTTGGCAACGAGGATCGTATGATCAATGAGATCAAATGCCTTTCGATAGTCAAATAGCACGACCCTGACGGCTGCCCCTGTCCCATCTGTAGCCTGTGACCAGAGGTGAAACATCGAGATCAGGGCGAATGAGGTGGAGGATTCGGGGATGCCGCCATACTGATCATAGTCGATCTTCTTGAGAACTGCGGGACCAACATGAGTGGCTACAACGAAGTCTTCCGCGAGTTTCGAGATGGTGGGGGTCAGGGAAATGGGCCGCAGATGCTTACTTAGGTCTTCAACAGGCTTCTGTTTGGGTAGCGGTACAACGTCAGCTAGCTTCCACGGCGAGGGCAGCTTTTGCTCTTTATAGCTGGAGTTGAGTATAGCCGTAACGGGTTCAACAAGAACCTCTGCATACTCTCGCAGGAGCCAATTAGGAACACAGTCAGGTCCGGCTGCTTTACGCGGGTTTAATTGCTTCAAAGCAGCCAAGACCGCAGACTCGGATACAGACAACACATAGGGTTCATCCTCGTGGGCTGCGATTGGCATTAATGGCTGAAAGTTTTCCATTTGAGCAAGAAAGGCTGAGTTAATTTTGTTGGCTATTTCAAGTTCGCTCAAATCGCCATCCAAATGTAAGCTGGAAAGAAAAGACTCTGATCTGGAGCAGGGGACCATTCCTGCGACCCGTTTGACAGCGTTCCACCACTGAGAGGGCTTGGTGGACTTGAGATGGTCAACTTTGCTAGCAAAGTACTTGCCGCGAAGAGATTTCCGCTCGCGGTTGACGATGTTGCGGTAGCGGCTAAAGGCGTCCTTATCTCCCTTGTTGAACGCTTGCTGGCGCAGCTTGATAAGGTTTTTAAACTCTGCGGTGATCCATGGCGCATCATTAACGTGTGTCTTGAAGTGCTTAACCGGCATGATGTGATCCATACCAATCTGAATTATGTCAACGAACATGCTTAACCTAGCCTCACAGTCATCTCCATTAACTGGAGACCAGTCAATCGACGAGAGATAGCGTCCGAGTTCCAACTTTCTACTTGGTCGTGAGTCTCGCCTTGCCGTGGTTCTCATACTGCAACCGTTGCCCTTGGGTCTCGCTTTGGGTCTCACTAAGACAACATTGTGGTCAGACATGCCAAAGGGGGGAAAGGTTTGCACAGCGTTTGAGTCGTAGAGCTGTGGAAGGTTAGTAAGCAATAAGTCCAAGATTTGGTCACCCCTTGTGGGCTTATCTACTAGTTGCTCCAGCTTGAATTGGGTGGTCAAACGGCGAGTATTTAGGCGGTTGAAATCGCCGCACAACAGGAAACCGCAACTGGAGTACTCTCCTTCCAAAGAAGTGAGGGATGCAGACAGATAGTTCACAAGTGCTGCATCTCTGATGCTGTTGTTGAAGTGTGGATGGTATATGACACCCGCGACGATACAGAGAACTCCGCGTGGAAGTCGGCTGGGTCGTAGCCACGCCCACAGTGCCTCGATGTCAGGATCCGACAGTTTTTCTAGGTGCTTGAATTTGATAGAATTCTCGATGTAGAGGCCAACACCGCCGTGATGGTCTGTGGTGCGGTCACGATGGATAAATGAGTAGCCTGGGATCTGCAGCAGTGAGTCACAGATTGTCTCTCTTAACCACGTCTCGGTAAAGAACCCTAAATTAGGTTTTAGATCCAGGACAACAGAACGAACCTCGTCAATCTTGGGTGCTAGTGACATGGTGTTAGCGAGTAGTGCACTAAGGCCAAACACTGAGTTTTCTTTCCCCTGATTCGATGGAATTGTAGGGGCAAAACGTGAAAGGTTTCGCCCGCGCACGCCCGGGGGGCGCTGGGGACCAGAAGGCCGGTCCCGCAGGCGATTTCGAGGCTTGATCACCGGAATGGAACCGTTGTTTATTCCAACACGCTGTAAGGTGTCAATCTGAATATTTAATGTGGAAGACGGAGCAGTATGTAAATTACTCTCGCCATTGAGGTTTACCTTTTCGCCAGGGAAGTCGGCTAGAAAACTGCCATAGCTGGACAAGGGCTGTCCCATGGAAGATTCCAGCACCGTACCGGGTCTCGGTAGGACTTGCCTCCTCCTGTTACCACCACGAAGGCCACGACGTGTAGGCTTAACTCTAGATAGACCAAGGGAGGTCAAGCGTTGCCATAAGTCTGGTGCAAGACGGTTGTTAGTTTGGATTGAGGAAGATAAAGACCTTAGGAAGGAGCTCGTATAGATGGCTGCCATACTGGAGAACACTTCTCATACAACAGGGTTCTTTTGCGTAGAAATAATGAGTAAAATCCAAGATTTTCCGGAGATCAGTATTAACACGTGCTACCAGGCGGGCGCTCGTGACATTCTATAAGAATATAAGCTACAAACTAGATAAAATAAAAAAAGGCCGCTTACGTCAGGTTAAGTCGCATTCAGGCTGAGAATCCTACTTAACCTTCTGTGTAGTTTAAAAAATTATCGCTAACACCCAAAATGGTTTTCCTTAATTCTCCTTTCCCCTCTATGGGTTCGTGGTATTGGGAAAAAAGTCATACACTTTCGCAGAACAATAAGATAACAACCAGTTACAATGATCTTTTAAAAAACATGACAATAACTGGTTCCTTATTTCCGAAAGATTTTCATCATATGATTTTTAAAATGAACCTTATGGGTGAGCTTCAACTTTAGAAATAAATGAAAGAAACCAACCGCGACGTGACTCAAACGTGCATTTCCTACTATATTTGACTGTGGTGATAATTTTACGCCAATCATTCTTTTTTTTCCCTGGTTGTCAGTCGGCTGTTATGATAAATTTGGCACAGGTTTCACAGTGCTTGATTGTCGGGCAACGGTCTTTAACACAATAATACATCATAATACTGTTGAACCCAGAGTTTGAAATATTTCCTTTTGAAGTTGTCAGAGCAATAATTGTATTCTTATGGTTTTTTTTCTCATGCATTTACCTACATTGACTATCCGATAGCAGTACTTGATCTTAGTATATACCACTCAAGTGAATAGTGATTTTCATGCGCGCTAATTGGCTAGTTCGGAAGCAAACTGCAAGTACTATTCACCTCCACTTCGGTGAATAATTGTACAATATTTTAATTCATCCTCTCCCATTTCATTCTAAGCATCTCCTCTAATACTTCCCAGACCTATTTACTTAACTCTTATCCTTTCACGCACGTTTTGCGTACGGCAAAACTTACACGACAATATAAAAACACCTTAAACGTAGTTCCATATCAAATTCCAGGTTTTTTCAAAGGCGTATGCCATTCACACAAATCGAAATCGCGAGAGTACGGAAAAAAGTTAAAGAGCCCTCAACGCCTACGCACGAACGTGCGTTTCTCGCAAGCTTGTAAATAAATCGTTTTCTTTTCGCACGTTTTCCGCATGGAAAAGCTTTCTCCTCAAACCTCTGGTAATCATCGTGGAATTTCTGAAGGGCTTTTGACCCTTTAACTACCATGAGTGACCAAGATAAAACTTCTCCTAACAATATCAATACAATATCAAGGAAACAGGTAATGGGAATAAAGAAAAATATTTATTAGGGGATTATTAGTTGATCCAACACCAAATTCTCCAAACTAACATCACAAAAACTATGTGGCAGACAGTAAGGAGAATTACTAATGAGAATTTGGGAGTTTACAGGTTAAGACGTTTATGGTAATTTTGGTGCACCTACACCAGTTTACTACTTACGTTTTATTCATATCGTGTCTAAGGGGGGGAATGTAGAAAACTGAAAACTGACCGCCAATAAGGGGAGGAGGGAGGGCAAAAGACCATTAAAGGTCCTGGAACCCACCTCCCCCCCTCCCTTGGCGATAAGATATATAACGAACGGTCCTTAACTTTTCCTCTTCCACAGAGCGAAAGAAGACAACAAATTGCTCACAAAATGATGTCAATGGACATATATATATATATATAATTTATAACAATTTTAATTTGCTATTCACTGTTTTTTTTTTCATCTAGGTGAAAAGAGTTCCAGCGATGTGCCTTTACGAAGTATCGTAAACGATGCTTTTAGAGAGTTTTAGATCCCCGTTTGGTGTGATTACCGCAAACACAAAACTAGTTAGCAATTGGTGGTCAGAAGTTAAAAGTTTTGAGACTTTTAGTTTTTTAGATCGACGTCGGCCTTCGACTGAAAAAAACAACATGTTCGCCGCCATCTTGAATTACACAAAAAATGGAGGTCCTTCATTTCAAACACAAACTGTGGCTAAAAGATTGGTTTCCCAGCGCTCCAAACGGATTGGTTAGGACAGGAGCCCATTACCCGGAAAAAAATGGTTAACGCTTTTCGCCATTATTGAAATACGTTCGTGCGGTTTGCATGTGTAGCTCTCTTATGATTGGCTATTATGTAAACACCCGCGAAAAAACCCGTGGGAGGTGCTTCTATAAATAAAAAAGATACGGGACAGGGTTGACTCAGAGGGTAAGTATGGAAGATTGAAGCTCCGGATAATGGGCTCCTGGTTATGAAGAAAAGACTTCACCTTACTTATACTTATAGGCCATACGTGAGCACTTTCGAACAGGAATAGAAGAGGCGTTGAGGGAGCTCAAGTACCTGAAACTGCTGTGCCCGAAAATAAAACGTGGACGGCAAACGGCGAACATGACTGCTGGAGTCTGGTCACGTGACCCCTTGACCTTTTCAGTCACACGTATTTAGAAACAAACATGGATCTAAAACTCACCATTCTGTTAACAAACAGGACTAAAATTTTAACCCTAAGAATGACAAACATCTAGTTTCGTCTGACAATTATACTGCTGACTCTTTCATTTGAGATCATGATCATGACAATAGAGGAAATGATCACCTAGAAGCTCTTGATTGCTAAACAAATTCTCCTTGTCAGCTACTCAGGAAATATATAGAGAACAGTATGGAGAATATGCATACTGATGTTTGGGTGTAAAGGGTTATAGACTGCCGAGATATATACAATCGTTCCTGTATTTTCATCCGCGATCTTAACCATCACAATTAAACCGCGTTTTTTTTTTCTATCCTTTAAGCATGCAACGATAAAGAGAAGGCCTCGAAAGATTGCCAAGCTGGGTTCATATGTATTGCTGTTCGCGAGGGGAGAAGAATTCGCCTTGAATGTAGAGATTTGAGGAGGAAAGGAAATAGACCTGGACTATTCCACGCGACGAGTCCCGTAAATCAAAGGAATAAAACCCTGAATTGTTTAAAGACGTATATAATTAAAATGTTTTAGAAAACATGAAGTTTCAATTGTCATTGACGTAACACAGCGGTCAAATGTCGGACATGTGCAATTGGATCAAATTTGGCCCAAAAATTTCAATCTGTGCGAGAATTGAAACGTTCTAGATATTTATTTCAGGGAATAGATATTAGCAACATTTTTTAACACCGTGACTTACTTACTTGATGACCCGTTTACTGCCTCTGACATGAAGCAAGCAATGAGGTGTACTAAATACGACACGGCAAGTCCTAATCTTGCTTTCCTGTTGTCTGTGTGACTTTATTACTTCACTTTCTTTTCAGTTTTATTTCCGAATAGATAAATAGTCGCTCTATATTTCAACTACAATTGCCGTGGCGATTTCTTATATCACTACGTTATTGTGGGACAGTGAGCAAGCTCCATTCCATGCGGGAAAGAGGCTGAACGGTTGTCCCCCCATGCCGTGATGCACAACATCTTGCAATAAAATGTTTTCTAGTGATGCAACGGGCATTTGCTGAGTCAAGCTCTGCGCTGCGTTTGGTACGTTGTTCCCAAATACTGCAAAGCTTCGCACCCCACCTGGAAGCACACAACAGCCAGCGGTCCACATCGAATTTGGAATAGATATCGCTGGACAAACGTTGCGCCTCCCTGCTGGACCCAACTGGGCCACAGGAGGTGCGTTCACTCCTGGAGCGGTGGTTTGAATGTGAAGGAACGAGGCACCTGTCAACAGGTACAAACGGCCGCCATTGCCCGTGCATTGCGGAGCGAACGCTCGTATCCTCGCCTCAAACTGAGCCCATAAGCCGCGGTTGAAGGTACGATATTGGGGTACAGCGTTGGTGTAGACATAAGTGGAACAAGCGCTGTCTCTAGTGCTGGAGTATGTGGCCCCAGGGACGAGGTGACCTTTGTCGATTTGCTGACCCTGAGTTTGATATATTGGAGTGCTTCCATGTGTGCCTATACCTTGAATGTGAGGATACAGTTACTGATTAGGTTAGTTCTCCAACAGACGCCATCATGCAGTCAGAAAGGCAGCACAGACGAACGGACAGATGGAGAAAATACCAACTGACGGACCTAGAGAAGGACTTACAAATAGACCTACCAATAGCGAGACAATCGGGCTGGTAGATGGCCACAAAGACAGACGATTTCGAGTCTCTATTTGTCAGAAGAGTATGGGACGGTCAGGAAACAGTGTAATCAAGTATCGTCAAGGTCTTTCCCGACATACAAAAACCCAACCTCTTCAGAAAGCAGACAGACAGATGGATAAATGGAGAGACAGACAGGCACTCAGACAGCAGACAGACACAGTAGGCAGACACTCGTACAGTACACAGACAGATGGACAAATGGAGAGACAGACAGACGCTCAGACGGCAGACAGACAGACTGACAGGTGGACAGGCAGATAGACACACGTATGGACGACCGGAGGAACGAACAGACATAAAAAGAAAAAAAAAAGCACATTTTTGCGGGAAAATCAGAAAATGAGGTGATACGAGTAGGGGGTCAGGGAGAGAGACCTGCTTACTGAAAAGCCGACCAATATCACCTTTTACATTTAATTTCCGTGTATTTACCTTTTGATCGCCTCCAATGTGGCTGGCGAGCAAGATTATTGGTGTTGAAATTCACGTTTGTTGGTGTCAATACGTAGGCTGAGAACACAGCAATGCCTTGCCTTTCGTCAAACATCGTTGCGTAATAAACTACACCACTAAATTGCTGGCAAATATATTTTATATTCCCTAAATTGTGTCCCGTTCGCAGACCTACGGGTGGGATTCCATTAGCGAAAAATTGAGTGTAGCAAGGCTGGTGAGGATTAGTGAAGACCAAGAGTGGAGCAGGCACTGCTCGAGTCTGCGCATCATCCTCGATAAAGGCTTCGTAAGATCTGTTGTTGGTGCGGTTTGAATAATCATTTCCTATTGAAAGATGAATATTAAGTTACATATGGGTCCGTTATCTTCATGGGTTTATTGCCGTGAAGCGTTTCTATGCTCAAAAGTAATTTTGTTATTTTGTTATATTATTAGCTGTTTATCAAGCAAGTTGTTATTTCGCTAACGCTTAAGTATCTTCGAAGATTGTAGCAGGATGCATTGCTGCATGAAATTAAAAAAATCAATTCTGCGAACAATGGTGTATCTAAACAGGTATTTCTAGGGCGTCCAGCGCGAAGGGAATGAGGGGAATGATTGTCAAGTAACCCACGTTTGAAAGGAAATCAGAGCCCACGAATCTTTGTAGAAAGTGTGCAAGCCTTGACAACCCGCACTAAATTTCGTACATGGGTGTGGATCTCCTTATCTAGTAAGTGTAACATTTTTGTAACCTAAAGTCAGAATGGAAAAGAGTTGATAGATCGTGAAACAGAACGGGTTACGCTGAATTGTCGAGAGTAAAGTCAGAAACGAGCGAAAGTAAACAGTGTAAGATGGTTGACAAAACTGAAAAGAAAAAGCTTTTTCGATCCAATTTAGCGTCAACGTTAATTATGAGAATACAAATTATCAAAGTGGCTTAGCAAGAAAGTCTTTCTGATTGGACAACTCAATTCAAAAAGTGATATGAAATCAGTGTATTGCAGTGAAATGATATCATCATAGTCACGACTTCATTACCCTGATATCTACAATATGTAATGATACTTGTTATTATTATTACGAGGGAGCGTATGTTTTCGCCTTTCATCAAAAGTCAATCAGGTAATTGCGTAATAAGGTGTCTTTTCGTTCTTCTACGAACAAAAGCAGTTCGCTACTAGAGATTTACTTAATATCTGGCAGTTATGAAATAAAAATCAGATCTTGAATGATGGACAATTTTTTCCCATTTTCATAAAATATTAAGTTGTGGTAGGAAATTGTGATACCTCATAGAACCTTATAACATCAAATAATAAAGATGAGAATAATATTGAAAGTTTATAACCGGTAGTATCCCAACCATATTTAACTATAAATTAAAAGTAAAACAAGAGAGTAAATGTCACTGAAATTCAATCAGTGTCCTGGAATAACTCGGCGATGATAGTTACATGTAGATTCAAAGTTTAAGAGATCTTCACAAAGCAAATTTTGCCATGAAACAGCAGCTTCACAAATTTCCTTCCTACAAAAAAAACAAATTTCTCCTCTTACTTTTCTTGTGGCTCTTGTTCAACCTGCATTCAGTGGTTTCCACATTTGATGACACCCAGGCAATAACAATCAGAGACGATAAAACTTTCGTGACAGATTCCTTCATCGTTCGCAAGAATGAGAAATTCTCCAAAACTTTTTCAACAATAAATAGGTAACGAAACCTCCTCGAAACTTAAACAAAACGCCGCGTACGATTAGATTATGAGAAAGGATATCTAGGTTTTCCACCGAAAATGCCAATCCAATGGGACTCGAGTTCACCTAACTCATCTCCTATCGTAATGCTGTAAGCCTCTTGAAACATTACACTTCGATGAATCATTGGCGACAGTCGTCAGGAGAATCTCCTTCAGATGATGAATTTCACCATCAGTAAGAAATTAAACCTTCCTGCTTAAGATTGCAATGTTAAAAAAAATGCTAAATGAAGCTTGGAACTATTGATGAAAATTCTTTTAAAAATTCTCCAAAATGGAATTTTAGCATTGAAAAATCACCGGTGAAACCTTTTAAGAATCCGTCAAAAGTAATCTAGCGAGACATCACTTTTCAAGAACAAGGCTGGTGTCTGTTAAGATACTTTTAATATCTTAGTTATTGGTTTTTGACTTATCGTGAGGTTTGCATAACCAGATATTAATTTTCTTTGTTCCTTTGTGCCTTTTATGAACAAAGATGAGGTTTGTTGCGATCTACATTGCAAATTCATACTTCTTAATACTTTTTATTGTGTTATCATCACTGTACCCTTACATCATAAACAACGCAAAGCTTTGAATAAGTTATGACTATAGTAAACGGCTATCAGGCCATCCAAGTGGTAATTAGGAAAGGGAAGACCTTAAGGTAAAAGGGAGTAGCATATTAAAATTAATATACGTTTATTCTGAGCTGTCGTTCAGCTTCTGTGGTTGCCATATGCAATAAACTTTTCTGCGGCCAAGAAACCCGGTAAATACCCGGAAATTGATTAATATAAAGCAAGTAACAGTGGTATCTAATTTTTTCGAGCAATCGATGCTAAGGATCAAGTAATACAAAAACAGGAGAACGAAACGAAGGCGGACAAATATTCGAAATACACTAAAACCAGCCAATCACAGCGGAGCATAGTGCCCACTTAGTTTAAGGAAACACATAATAAGTCGAACCCATTGCCTGAGGAAGTCTTGTATGCACTTGGGAAGAAACTATAAATTAAGACAAGCAACAAATGCTTTATAATAATTTATTTCACCACGATCGATAGCCGTACTCTTAAATGACTTTCTTTTTTTGTTCTATCCACCCGCTGCTGCTTGAGGAAGCTGTGCAGCATTGTTATTCACGCAGTTTGCAAGTCCTGGAAACAGATTCACTTCAGGTCCACCTAAGCCACTTCGGGTGACATCGGTTGTGAGGATGTTTTGAAGCTGGGCAAGGCTTATCTGACTTATGAAGGGCAGCTGGTTTGCATCGTTATTTCCAATCACCGCAAAACTCTCTGCCTGGCCATTTGGAGCCACGCAACAACCAGCGGTCCACATCGAAATGGGGATAGTAATTGATGGGTAATTTTGGACTGGACCTAGTTGGTTAGGTTGTAGTAGTGTTACTTGCAATTGGTTGTTCTGAACCTGAACGAAAGAAGTGCCAGTTAACAGAAAGAGCACTCTATTGTTCTGCACACAGGTGTTTTGGGCATAAATTCGTATTTTCCTTTCATACTGGGACCACTGACCGCCGTTAAAAGCTCCTACTTGTGGAACGGCGTTTGTGTGTCTGTAGGTTGAGCATAAGCGCTCTTCAGAGCTCGAGTAAGTTTCTGCTGGGACTAAGTGACCCTTTTGAAACGGTTGATTCTGGTAAATGTTGTCGCTGCCTTGCCTCAGTATACCTTAAAGAGTCAAGTTTGATATGTCATTTTATCATACCTAAGTTCGGCTTGCTCCAAAAACATGAGTAAACATTGCACTTATATCTTTTCATGTGATGGTAACAATGTCATCCAGGTAACTGTATTTATCAAAATTACAGTTTTACGTTTCACGAACGAACATTTAAGATCCTCTTATTTTGGCAGATTAAGTGTTTAGAGCTATAACCTTTCAACGTCAAAATGCCAGGGGCACCCTCCCTACTGTCAAGTCAGATATTCACAGATCATCGGCGATAATAGACCGAAGAAGGACGCGGGAGATGGGGGGGGGGGGTATTTCCAATCCCTATTCCTCAAAAAATTCAGTGTATTGGATCGTCACAATTTGCAAAAAGAATCCTACACCTTGAGCAATTATTTTTCTCAACGATAGTTCCTTCATCCCTACCTGGTTCTCTCTTCCATCCTCTTGTTCCCCCTGGCGCCTGACCAAAGTTAATTGTTCCTTGATCCAACTTGTACCCGGCATACACCGCAATTCCCTGATTTTCATCGAACATTGTGGCGTAAAAGACATCTTGACTACCTGCTATTTGTTGGCAGATGTATCTTATGGTGTTCAGATTTTTTCGGAGACCTGCTGGAGGTTGGTTATTCACAAAGAATTGTCTGAAGCAAGCCTGGTAAGGATCATGAACAGATCTCCGGAATAATTTGATATGGTTTTCCTCTTGCTCAGTGCTGTTTCTTAGGACTGCACGACCATTGGCACCTGACGAAGTAAAATTGAGACCTGAGAAATCACACTTGTACCAGAGACAACATATTGACAGAACGAAGCTTTATGTCTTACAGAGCAACTCGCACTAATCAAATATCGCCGAATATCGTCGGATGGACCAACAGGACATACAAAAACGAACGTAAGCTGACAGTTTTACAGCTTCAATGTCAAAAAATGCGGATTCTTTTTCGGGAACGATGCTCACTTAAAACTAATTGAACAGAAAAGATTGTCAGCAAATATATCACACAAGTTATTCAAGACTTTTATCCAAACTTCTCAGTAAACAAAGCAGATGGACGTTAATAATTGTAGCTGTCGTACAGATGCGTTGAATATCATCAGTCCAAAATGTGCATGGATAAGAAGGTAACGAAATAAATTGTGGATATTTTTCAGGGCTGAATCTTAATTCTTACTTTTCCACCTTTTATTTTTTTCGCTGATCATCACGAGCTTATCTATTGAAGTCTTGTGAGCGTCCAACTCACTGAAAAGAACCAAAACCATGCACAGAACTACCGCAAACGAAAAATAGTTCAATTGTCCGTAGAAGAGAGTATTTATAACTTAAAACGTCATTGTAGTTAGCCGATGTTGGCTTCTCAGAGATACATCAGTGGCCCGAGAGATTCACTGATTGATGATTGCTCCTCTACCTGTTGCAATTATTTTGTTCAGCAGTGGTAAAGGAATTTCATTTTAAAGGGAAGCATTATAAACAAAAAGAAACCTAATGAACAGCGAATGCCTTTAGCGTAAGATTTCGAGCTGATATGATCCTAGCACGTGTTCTATTACACTACAACCCTCTTCATCTGACATTTCAGAAATCTTCTCTTGGTTATCTTACTTTTTTAGCATAACTCAATTTGGAATTGTTGTTGGCGCTAAAATGGATTTGCCTTTTTAAGAGAGAAAGTTTGGATTGGAAAACTGTCTTGATAATGCTCAGCGCTCCAAATTTATGTTATCTCTTAATAAATGAAAGCTTCACAGGAATATTCAAAATCGTATCGCTTACTTTTACTCTCCATGTGTAATCTGTAGGCCGCAACGATGGAGATTATTACCTCAATAACAACGAGTGATGATAAAACATTATAGACGGACTCTTTCATCCTTAATAATAAGGTTACTCGCAATTTAAAGTGAAAGGAAAATCTTTGCGAACACCAAATTTAGGAAACAGTGCGCCTAGCAAAGATTAAGGTAACTTATGAAATAAAGGTCAAGATGACCTGTTTGATGTTAAAAGTTGTGAGGAGTTTTTTTACGAGTCAGGGTTCATAATCCAATCATATTTGATTGCGACTCTTATTTCTGACAACGTATTATTAAATAGTTAATGAATTCTCACGATGTAGTCACGTGTGATGTAGATTGCGACGTTTCGGCTGCATACTGCTAGTCTTCTTCAGGCGATGAGGTCGACTGGTAATGCGTGTTCTTATAAAGCATGATGCTCTGCTGTGATTAGTTGTTTTTTTCAACAACTCTGATTAGTGCATTTCGATCCTTGCTAGTCACTGAGTGGTTTGCTCCCTCGGCGGTCCGCTGTTGCATGGCTCTCCTGTTGTTGTGTTTTTTGATCGTGGGCATCTACGATTCAGGAATTTCTATCTCGCTATCCCTGTTGATGTTGTTAGGGTGAGGTCTTCTATGAATTGCCTCTTTGACCCTGCGCGTGTAGTAATAAGGGTCACGATCAATAAACTTTACTTTGTTCCAGAGTGGCTTGTGTCCGGTGTTTTGGGCATGCTCTGAAACGGCAGAGGTCTCGGTACGGGCGAGTCGAATGTCTCAATCGTGCTCCTTAATTCTGTCTTGCATAGGTCTCCAGTCTCTCCGATGTACACATCCCCGAATTCATAGGGAATCCTGCAAACTACGCCATCTTGTTTAGCCGTGTCGAGAAAGTCTTTTGATCGTACTAACTGAGATCTTAGCGTAGTCTCCGACTTGACAACAGCGCGTACGCCATGTTGTTGTAGGCAATGGCAAAGCTGTTCGGACAGACCTTTGACATAAGGTAAAACCGTAGTCGCTTTGAACTCGTTGGCGGGTTCGGCACTGTTGTTCGGTTTTCCGGTCTTGGTTAGTTTCTGCAAGAAAGAAAAAGGATAACCATTAGAAACCAGAACAGATAACACTGTGAACACTGTGCAGTGGCGCCGTCTTTTTGCTCGTAAATCGATCCGTTATACTGGAAGTACGTGAATCTCGATATGACATCAAAAGGTCAGCGACCTGAGCAGGCGTTAGCGTGGTGCGGTCTGGCTAAGTAAATCATATGCAAAGGTGCATATGATTTATCCGCTTACTTAGCCAATATCTTGTCTCCTTTAACAGGAAAGTCAGAGTACACGGTGACAAGTTCAGCCCACTTCGTATCCACCGTCAGCAATGAAACTATCCTAGACAACGAGATCATGGTATCTTTCGACGTAGAATCGCTGTTTACCAACGTTCCTATCGACGCCGTTGTAGAAGCCGCACTGCAGAAAGTCGAGAACGATCCAAGCCTTGCAAAAAGCATCACGCTAACGCCTGCTCGCCGGTATCGAGACCTCTGCTGTTTCAGAGCATGCCCAAAACACCGGATACAAGCCCCCCTGGAACAAAGTAAAGTTTATTGATCGTGACTTCACCCTAACAACATCAACAGGGATGGTGAGAGAGAAATTCCAGAAGCGTAGATGCCCACGATCAAACAACAGGAGAGCCGTGCGAAAGCGGACCGCCGAGGGAGCAAATCACTAAGTGAACAGCAAGGATCGCAATGCACCAATCAGAGCTGTTGAAAAACAACTAATCACAGCAAAGCATCATGCTTCATAAGATCACGCATGACCAGTCGACCTCATCGCCTGAAGAAGACGAAAAACTTAGCTTTTATTGTTATTCACCACGATGAATAACCACTACCTTTTCTACGAAATTAGTTGATGACTGTTCGTTAATCTTAATTTCGTAAACCTTCTGTATTCTTTTTATTTTGAAATGACTTAACCAGTCAAGCTATGGATGCTTGCTTAGAAAGAAACAATTACCTGTAGAAGAGATTCAGAAAATTCCGAGAATTCACCGATATTTCTTCAAAAAAAGCGCTTGAAAAATATGACAAAAATTTAAGTGGCCGATTTTGTAATGCTTAATAACTTTCAGTGGAAATGTTGTTATGGGAAATTTATTCGACTGCTGTTCTTTCAGTTGCACTCTTAATCACAGGAATTTTTTATTAAGCTGATGATGGACAGAAGTGTTGTTCTTTAGTCATGCATTTAAACCAATGTTTTTCGCTCAAATTGACATGTTAGCTTGATTTATTATTGTGTGTGTGTAACCGTCAGAGCGCGCGAAATACAATTTCTGATCACGAGTTGTACAACGTCGTAAAAATTCATGAAAAAGAGAAGAAATAACATAAGACAGGTTAAACTTGACAAACTTGTTTGGCAAACTAGATTGAATTCATTCACTAAGTCCAGAGAAGTGATTTGCTATTCCCAGTCCCTCACAAGTGGTCCTCTAAAAAGAAGTGAAGAGAAATCGGAGACACCCTCTATCTCTTGATTAACGTCATTTTATCGTTTGGAGTTTGCGAGCTTTAAAAACTCCGGGATAAGCCATAGATATGTATATAATTCAGCAAAATGTTCACTCGCATTTTATGTTAAACCATTAAGTAAGGGATTTACTTTAACCATCGTTTATTCCTTTCATACAGGTTGTTTTATCTAAATTGGCCGATCATCAGCGACGCAGCTCTCGTTGTCATACGATGTCATACAATGTTATTGTTCACTCTTCTCCGTTTGATTCCTCCAAGTTGAACATGGTTGGCATCATTCATACAACCCGGGAATGCTGGAAACAATTTGACTTCATCCTCTGTTTCGCCTCTCGCTTTATCCGTTGTTAATGCCTCTTGCAAAGTAGACATGAGCAGTTCACTAGTATACAGCTTCCTTGGATCTTCTGCGTTGTTTCCAAACACTGCAAAATTCCCCACGGCAGTACCACCTCTGACACAGCAGCCGGCAGTCCACAGAGAACTGGGAACTGTTATGGCAGGGAATTCAGGAAGATCTGTGTTAGCCAGTTTAAGCGCTTTGCTTGGCTTTTTGGCCTTAAAATGTTCGGTATCTGGATTCCAACGCAAAAATGAGCTTCCAGTCAAGAGATATAAAGTTCCATCATTCTTAGTACAATGATTTACTGCATAGTCACGTATCCTTTTCTCATACTGAGACCACTGACCACTATTAAGCGCCGGTCGCTGTGGCACCGCATTCGTGTAGACGAAAGTGGATCGAAAGCCGGCACCACTATGGCCGGTATCTGATAAAGTATAAGCGGGTGCCAAGTGCCCTCGGTGAAATGGTAGGCTGGGATAGACCTCGTCGCTTCCTTGTTCCTCAATGCCTTAAAAAGGAAACTGAATTATGTCAAATACATCCACTATTAATGTTGAGAATATAAATATTGCTGTTGTGGATGCCGTCTAAACCAAACTCCGCCAAACTACATCAAAATACACCAGAATCACACCAAGGAGACCGAAAACGGCAATCTACAGCAAGTACAAAAAAATCAGAAGCTACACGAAACTACACCATCTACTCAAAACAAAACTAAACCGATTTTTAGCTTAGAGCTAGGGTTAAAACAATTCCTTTATAATAAAATTAACTTGCTATCGGAAGCTTGGATAAATACCTTCGGTTTGTCTCCATTTTGGGCGTGTCCATTCTTTAAAGTCCACGTTATCTT